TAATTTTTAAATTTAAAAATTATTTGTGGTTTTTGCATGGATAATTCAAAAAATAGTCTAAAAAAAAAAAAAGAGATGGTTTGGGGGGGGGGGGGGGGCAGCTGTACAGTGAAGTGGGAGAGAGTATTAGCACTGTACCAGCCATCTCCTGGTCCTGCACCTGTTACATTTTAGGCTACATTTAAGGATGAGTTTTCTCACCCTTTTAGAAATTCAAGGGGTGATACAGGATAGGAGGGGGACTCATACTACACTGCACAGCCCCGGCACACCAGCCAGTGGGAGGTGGGTGGGAATCTTTCTGCTTCACTAACCAACCACTCCCTGCACCTATTACTTGTAACAGCTAAAAGACAAGTGGGGAAGCTGTGTGATGCAGCAGCAGGGAGATTTCCCTGCCATGCAACCCTTGGGCTATTAACAGTTGACAGGTGAACAATCCTCACTGTTGTTAAGTTAGGCTATTTTTTAAACATGGGTTTAGTGCTCTTCTGAAAGAGTGCTAAATCTGTATTTAAAAGTAGCCTGAATAATAGTTATTAGGTGTGAGGGATGCACAATGCAATGGGGGTCTCGTGGACTAGAGGAGAGGAAGTATACCCATACCAGCTTCAATTGGCCAATAGGTGGTGAGTTGATCCCATTTCCTATGGTTCATCTGACCACACCATCAACATAAGGGACAGTAAAGCATGTCAGATTGTATCCAAAGCAAATCTGTGTTGGAATAGGAGGGAAAATGAGAGAGGGATGAAGGCAATGTTATGAAAAAGGAGGTTACTGGAGCATATCTGTCCATATTTGACACAGGGGAGGAAATGCCCAGTGACAGCAGTATTGTGTGATTGCTGCTAGCTCCCATGAAGTCTCATTCTCATTCATAGGATTTCAAAGAATCAGGCTAGATACTGTATATAGCCTATTGGAAGTAAAGCCATCTTTACAGTAACTTAGAAGGTCTGGCTTTTGCAGAACATGTCCTGGGAGAGAAGAAAATCTATGAACATATCTTTAGGGTTGGTTTTTGTTTATTACTGACCATAGGAAAGGTGGAATGAACAGAAAAAAAAGAGCAATGACTTCCATGAAATAAAATCATTTATCATCTCCTTGGGTCTTCCTGAGATCAGAACTTTCCACCATACTTAAGGGAATGACCACTGACCAAGCATGAGAAACTCTTGTTCCTCATGGCATGACTTTGGAACATCTTGGCCTCACTCTTGCCATCTGACTGATGAACGTGGGAGAACAAAAACCTTTTAATTCTTCTAATTTGAAATTTTAACCATGGCTTAAAGTGCATTCATTTCAATGCAAAAGTAAAATTCACCAGTGTCCATGCAAAACTGTTTCCTGCAAAAGCTTAAAGAATCAAGCCTTTGAAGTGATTATTTTTATAATGTTATATTTTGTTTCTGTAACTCAAACGTGGATTAGATGGTCCGTTTATGTATTTTTTTTAATAAACTATTATTCACAGGGGGAAAGGGGCAAGAAAGGCTCTAGGGGGCCTAAAGGGGATAAGGGAGACCAAGGAGCACCTGGATTAGATGCACCCTGTCCATTGGTATGTTTCGTTTTATCAAATGTATTGTTTTAAACTAAGCCACCGGGGAAAAAAGAAGGAGTAAAGACAGTAGTAGTATATTGCATTACAAGATTAGATTTTCATTCTTCTGTACTGTTGGGTATGGACAGAAATATAAATTAAGTTTTGGAAGCAACTGGATTCTGAAGAAGTGGAAAACCTTAACCCTTCTTCGCGTGCTTCTTTAAAAATTAAGGCCAATTCATCTGCAAACTTGAACCCTCGTTTGAATACAGTACGTTAGCTATGCCTGGTGAATTGTGTTGCATGGAGGTGTTATGAGACAATATGAAAGTTCTGCATTGCAATCAGATCTGGAATAGGTTCAAGTCATCACTCAATGTTGTAGTTATCAGGTGAATATGCCTAAATCACAAGGGAATCTAAAGCGCCTTCTTTTTTCCCCATCACTTGTGATTAAATGATATAATTGAAAATAATTTGTGGTTGAGAATGAGGCAAGGCACTCAGTTTATGATCCCAGTAGAAAACAAACTGATCACGGTGTGAAGAAAAGGAGAACATTCTTGATATGGAACTATTTTATTAATGGTCTTTCTAATCCCCCACTCCCAAACTTCTAAAGCTCTCTGAAGATTAATTTCAAACATGGGCCACTTTGTAGAAACCTGTACAACTAATTCTTTACCTTCCATACCAGAAGGAAGGCATATCTCTAAGACACCCTCTAACTTTTTACAATTAAGCAATACTTTATGGTTATTCTAGAAAACGAAGAGTGGTTTATCTTTCTTCACCATGATATAGAAATACACTGGGTATATAAGCTGAGTGCATTTAGTATATAATTGTTTACAGAGTTTCTCCACCCAGAAATTGCAGATCATCTACATTGACTAAAGTAATTCTAGCGGTTGATTTCATGAACAGGGACTCCGAGGTTTTAAAGGCGAGAAGGGTGAGCCGGGGTTACCAGGGCTGGACGGGCTGGATGCCCCTTGCCCATTGGTATGGTGTTACCTTCCCTTTCCTGCATGTTCTAGATTGTGTTGGTTCACCTGCTTTTGAAAAACCCTTTCCAGATCTCTGGCGGCTTTCTAGATCATTGATGCTCAGGGTGCTTCCAGGCAGCCAGTGCCCAGGGCAAACAGCCTCATGCAGATAATTTGATTCCCCACACCCCCACAACAGTTTTTAAAACTAAAATAAAAAACGGGGGGAAGGTGATAGGAAAATAAGGTAAGTTTTCAAATGGAAGATGACAGTGCCAGAGTCTCCTCTATGGATGGAATACAGTTACACAGCAAACGGGTGGCCAGAAGCACTCAGAGCATCATGCATGACTGCTTTGAAAATGAGCTTAGTTGCTACCGCCATTTTTCTTGCCTTACACGAGACTGATCCTGGATTTGAAACTCTCACATTTGCTTCTTCATTAACCTTACCCTCATAATATTTCTTGTTTACTTGCCTTAAACATTTGTCTACACCCAAGAACACTTGGCTGATACAGATGGTGGAAAGAGGGCTCTTTGAAAACCCTCCATCCAAAGTCCACAGATGTGGTTATTTTTTTATCATTTGTTCTTGCCCTTATTTATTGGAGGCAGTCTTTTTCTCTTTTTTTCCAGTCAAGGACCTCCTCTCGGAGGTAACAGTGTGGAGCATGGCTGAAATCAATGGTGGGTGAGCATACAGCTTGCCCATCCCAATCAAATTATTTTGTAAAAATCTGTGCTACCTTTTATTCACACAAGTAAGTTCTAGGACAACATTCAAAGATAAAATAATAATAAACAAAATACAGTGAAACATAATAAATGTCACTTGTGTTTTACTTATTTTGCTTTTAAATAATCTCCAGGTGTTCTAGTAGGACTGTTGACTCTTTCTATACCAACTCTTTCTATATCATGTTGGAGAAGTTTGCCCCAACTGGGAACAAGATCCCTGTATTACTTTGAAATATTTATTTGTGGGGTGAGCACAGAGAAATTACCTGGTTTGCTTTCATTTTGGTTTGTTTTCATAAAAGTGAGAAACTCCCTTGAAGTGATAGAAACACGCAAACAACGGAAATTATTATAAAGGAAAATACCAGGTTGTTTTTCCTCTTATTTTGAGACATCGTTTGGTAAAAACATACAATATGTGTAATTTCACTTTTCCTTAATTTCAAAAGGGATAAATTAAACCCCTAATCATTCATGTAAGTTTTTAAAATATACAAATTCACTGAACAGGGGAGAAATGCAACACCACAGGATAACTGTTGAGCAACACATGGAATATGAAATGGATCGGGTTTTCTTCAAATGTTGCTGAGAAAGGCTCTCAACAGCACTATTAACATGCAAACAAAGAATTTCACCAAGGGAACCCAGATTAAAATCTCAAATGCTAGTTATTTAAAAGCATAATAATTCATTCATTTTGCTCATTCTGCATATACCCTAATTTAAACAATTAATGCTTGCTTTTATACAATTTGGAAATTATATACATCTGTGCACATTTGCATCTAGCTCACTGAATAATTTGGCAGTCACAAACCTCAAAAATGTTAAGCACCCCTAACTTCAATAAGAATTAAAACAGTTCCGTCTGAGATTCATAGAACTAGTTCCAAATAATTTGTGGCCACATTTTCTGCAGAATAGTCTTCATTTATTGGTGTTATTTTGTAAAAGACATATATATTCTGTAGGACTAGGAATACAATTTGTATTAAAAAATTAAGAATGTCACAGTTTTGTTGTTTACCATTCTTAAATTAATATACTTTCTAACTCAAGCATGCAAGCCACTTACCATTTGCCTTTCATTCTATAGTTCAGCTAAACTATATTCTATGCAAATTTAGTGATTATGCTTTTTCAGTTTGAGATACCTAATTTTTCCTTTTTACTAATATGTGCTTCCATTCCCAGCCTTTGCAAAGAAATATACTGTTGTGACCATATCCTGCTGTTGATCCCTGAGTTGTAACTCCTATCACACTTTCTCTAACTTTGGGGTTTATGTGCAATGCACTATATAATTCACTCCCACCAATGGATTCATTGTACCAATGGAATTTTTTCCCACTTCTTGTTAATAGAACTTTAGCTATTGAATTTTATAGATGTCAATATCGTTAGGAAATGGCAGCATTTAAGACATTGATTTAGAAAGCACCTGATTATATAAAGGCCAACATTGTTACTTAGGGCTCCTCCATACAAGGGTTCTGCACCAGCTCTGGTCCTCTGTGATCCCATGATGTCAGCAGTGTTTGGGATTCGAGTCAATTTATCTCAGATTCAACTGCAATTTATTTGAAACTGCCACAAAGCAATTTTTTTCTTTCCTTTTCTGGAAACCCTGTAAGTATATGGAGCAGGTAGACAGTCCAGTTCCCCATTAGTGGAAATTCTTGGCACAACACATTCTTCTGGCAGGGTTTTTAAAGGGGAATGGTAGCTTGACGGTTTTGCAGCTGCCGCTCAAAAAAACAGATATTTATTTGAGGTGGGCATATAAACAGATACTGTAAATCCATACAGTATGAAGGATGTGGTGGTGTTGGGGAAAATGCTAGCTATTTATTTTATTTCTGTTTCTGTGGAGAATGGGGAGGAGAGGGCATTTTTGTTACTTCAAGACCTGTGATAGCTGATGACAGGACAATCACTAAATGATGTTCTTTGTTCCTTATTCTTAGCTTTTCAAGGTGAGCAGGAATTAAGACTATCACGAACTAGTTTCAAACTACATTTGAAGGACTGGGGAGAAAAAATTATGGCAGTATGGAAGTGCCTTTAACATTAAACTATTTGGGAACAGGTGTCATCAGATGTTACTTTCTAATACAATTTTCCAGATTATTGTTTAATTATGAGAAAACATACATAGGTACATACATACATAGATAATGTTTCTTCCTGAAATTAGATTGGTCCACAGGATTGGTCAGATCTAATCAGTATATTATACAATGAGTGTGTATACACACACACACACAGAGTATATATACTGCAGATATTCATTCAAGCTTTTGAATAGAAAGACTTTACATATATTCAAAAATATCTGGGGGAAAAAAGAGTGTATGAAAAATTCCACAGAGGGAGTTAAGTTTTTAAAGACCTTATGAACATTCTTGGGTTTCAATTAAATAGCAGGAACATACAGTACCTTGTCTCTGAAGAATATTTAGAAATACTGAACTTGTAACAAAACAGCACATAAAGGGCACCTGTGTTGCTCACCATCATATGTACTACCATTCTGTAGCTGCTGAAGCGTACTTTCCCTCTACATTGTGTTATACTCAGAAGGCTAAGAAGGAGCATTTGAAGGAAAGACTTGGTCTTTCTCAACCAGTAGTAACTCCATCCTTGAAGTGTGATCTTCACAGTCATCACAGGAATCAGTGGCAAGCCTTACTGAGTCTGATGGACCTAGAATTCACATACGCAGTAGATCATACTGAAAGGCTTACAGTCGACCAGATGATGGGGGATTGACCATGTGCATTTTGCAGTATAGAAACAGCAACACTTTGGCAACCCCTGTGTCTGTGGGCAAGAGGTCTAAGCAAGAGGTATTGCATTAGGTTAATTTCCATCAATTATTTTAAATGCTGTACAGCTTCTATGGTTATAAATTTTCCCTATTTTAGTCCCTCTCCTTGTCTACCCTGATTATATAATTCTCTCTTGTAGGGGGAAGATGGGTTGCCAATTCAGGGATGCTGGAATAAGGTAAAAATACCTCAAATTGTGGCATGTTATGACATTGGTGCTATTGCATGTTGTGAATATAGTAACAAAATGTAAAGCATGAAGGATGTGTAGTAACATATTATCTTTCCATGTACTATATATGTTTATGACCGTTAAATTATACAAAAGTACAATTACATATTACATGATGATTAGGGGAAAATGATACAAAGCTTTTTTTTTTAAATGCTTCCTCTTAGCCCTGCAAAGAAAGTTCATGGGGACTTTCCATTCTAAGGATAGTAACAGCTTAGTTTACTTTTGTTAAAAATGCAGAAGAGAAAGGTTGCGTACCTCTAACTCAGCAAAAATGGCCATTTAGTGTTTCTTTTTTTAAATGGACGTGATTCCTCACAGTCAGATTCCAGAGTTTGGATACATAACATCTTTAACGTTTAGAGATTTCCCCATGAATCTACTTACGTATATTGAAATACTATTCAAAAAGTACCAAAAGTTCACAATATCATACGGGTCAATGACTCCTCAATTTTTTATACCTCCAGCAGGATGAGTGATACTAACATAGTTTTATATGTTTTTCTTTTGCAGTGAATATTCTAACCAAGGACTGGCCTGTGTGTCTGTGTGTATGTTTGTGCATAGAATATTTATTTTTATACATTGTTCTTTTTTGAAAGTGCCGACAGATATGCATAAAAAGCTGCATATTTTTGTACATAAAATGCTACAATTCGCCTTTAGCTGTCTGCCAGTTGCTTGTATAATTATATATATATGTTGATAACTATGCTTCTTGCATTGTGGGATTCAGCTGCAATATTTGCATGATATTTCTGCACTCAGAGTAAGTGCTACGGCTTAATAAGCTATTGCATAAAGATGCCAGAAGGAACCATTCTATGTACATACGAAGACAAAAAACATTTGAAAGTGGGTGCAAGAACATCTTAAAATACTATGGATTTTGATTATTAAAATGAAATGAAATGTAGCATTTGTAAATACATTCTATATTGGTATTTCAACGTGCAAAATGAAATAACATAGTAAGAGATAACAGGGGCAATCTATCCTCACTTTTACTGTACACAAAGGGTAGAAGTAATGCACATCATTGTTCAGAATTGAGGACAACAAAGTAGGGACATACATGCCCCCAAAAAGTATCTAGTGTCATTAATGAGTCAAGACAAAGTTGAATTTTTTCCATCAGATTCTGTTCATTGACAGAAGCACAATTTTTGGTGCAAAAATATGGAGATCTAAATGTAGTTGTGATCGATTTAGCAAATAATGGACATTTCTAGCATTTTTACATAGCTTTTCAAGAGATTTGGAAACTGCACAGATTAAGCCTCTGGAGGCTAGGGCCATTAGGAATGAACCTGGTCCTATGCTCCCTCCCTCATAAATTCATTGGATGTGGTTTTCCAATATCCTTGCCCCATTAGGTCCATCTAATGCTCTGTGGAAGGAAATTCTTTAAGAACAACAATGCAGGAAAGAAAAGGCCAACAGACACCTTTTTTTCAGAGCTGGAGATTTTTGTAAAGAATTGGAAGGGAAATGCTGAACAGCCCGTGCAGCATACATTGCTGTTCTCCCTACCTCATAATCTCAGCATCAAGCTAAACAGAACTTGGAAGTTTATAATAATGGGATATGATTACCATTATTTAAAACACATATACAGAAATTTGGGAGGGGGGAAAATTCTTTGTGTGTATGTGTGTTTTTTAATCCCAACAGCTGTAAGTGATCATCATGAAAATAGATCAGCACCATAGAAGAAATAGAAGTAACACTGTACCATTTTCTTGGACTCACATCTCCTTTCTAAAACTGCCATTTCTTGGGCCTACACACATTTTTGTCCCCACAGGGCAGCTAGCAACTTGAGGAAAGGCTATTAGCAAAAATGGCACAAAGTAAAGGATTAATTCCACTGTCCCAGAGCAGTGCTATTACTCTGTTTGAGCTCCACTAACATGATTACAGGAACTACGACTGCCATATGAAGGCAGCTGGGGTCCCTTCAGTGGTCACAGTGAATAGTCTACACCAGTGTTTCTTAAACCTTTTTCTCTCAGGACCCCTTCCCACTTTTAAAAGTTATGGAGGACCCCAAAAGAGCTTTTCTTTGTATGGGTTATACAGTATTTATAGATTTTTATTGTATTAAAAATTAAAATGGATGCATTTGCTGCCATTACCACTTCTCACAATTGTTCGATGGGATTTTAATACTGTATTCTTTTTCAACATAGGCTGGCAAATAAATTAATTTTGCGGACCCCTGAGAGGGTTTTGGGGAACCCCCAGGGGTCCTAGGACCACACTTTGAGAAACACTGGTCTACACTAACTCTCTTAAACTGGAAGTGGTTAGCATTAGCAAATGCTAGAATTTTGTGTTGTTGCTTTTTCCAGCCTTGCGGACAATATACCCCCCACAACTTATTAGCACGCTTCTTCATACTGAAACTTGATAAACCCTCAGTTTAACAGACCTCGTTAAATTGAGGTTTTCTATATTATATTTCTGTACTGCACCCTGCAAATTCTTCACCACAACTGCCGCTAAGAACTACAGTAGCGGCGTAGTGAGTTTTAAATAAGTCATTGTGTATTCTGCATCTTACCCAGAGCAACTCAAATAGATAGGTACCATACATGACCTGGATTCATTTGGGACAAGATGCCAAGTACTTACGGTGCCACTTTCTGATTGGGGCAATGAATGGTAAGACAATTGCAAATATACTGGCTGCAAATGACTGTTATTTTTTTAAGTATGGTACAGATGCAAATAGCAACTAGAAGTAATCACTACCGGGGTCAACTGAATATTACAACTGCACATAGAAAAGGCAAATGTGGACAATGCTATAATGCACAACACTGTAGCACAGATAAGTAATTCTAAGGGAGACTTTTGCATAATTTAAGCAAATATAAGCAGCATATTTATTACTTTCTATGAGACATTTCTATGTAAAATAATTACATCTGTCCCTTAAAGGGTCAAACTCCTTGGCTGATAGCAAAATAATGAGACAAGTAAGAGGGTGCAGATAACTTGTGGAAGGTCTGCAGTGATGACCGAAGAACCTCCTGCTCAAAGATTTGCTGAAGATATTGCATTACCACCAAAGAGCACCGAAATGTTCTTGAGTCATGCACACCGGAGTTTTGTTCCTGAATAGCAGGCCTGGTGAGGCTACAGAAGATGGACTCAGCAGTGGGTTTTGCTCTCTCCTTTCAGAGTCAGCAGAAAGTCGATCAGGAAAGAAATTGGCTTCTATTTTCTACTTTTTCCTTTTCAGTTCAGTCTGTTATCACGATGGAAGCCTTCATGTGGAGATCTCCACACATTGTCTAATATGGTGTGAAAAGCAAAAGGACATAGACAATGGTTCTATGATTGCTGTATTTTTTTGAAAGGACTTTCCGTATTTCTGGATGATAAACTTGAATCTAGATTTTGAACAGCCCAGTGAAAATACAGCCAGTTGAACCGGTTCATCATTTTCCCTGGCTGTCAGATGGTGAACATTCATGTATTCAGATTTGATGATTCCCTCCTGAATCCTTTCACAGATTCTCTTCGAAAGCCTATGAATTGTTTTCTTCCAGAAAGTTCTTTTCAGTATAGCAGAAAATCACTTTCATTTTAGCATAATTTTATTGTTTTAGTAATTTTCAGACTTACATTTTTGTATTAGAAACATATTGCTTTAAGTTTGTCTTGATAATATATTTAACAGATCTTTTTCAACCCAACTGTCCCAGTACTAAAACTTATATTACTACTTTTATTGGATTGTACAGGTCTATGGAAAAAGAATTAGCCAAAAAAAGTGTAACACTTCACCTTTGATTCTATTATTGAAGATTTTTAGTGAATTATTTTTATACAGTTCTGCAGAAATAATACTTGCAATATAGTTGCAGTATGTCATGATTTGTCAATTTATACTAATTCCTTAGTTTATATGCATCAACTTTTCAAAAAAAAAAAATCGGGTATGATAACTTTTGGAATGTCTTCTTCTGTGAAGACATGCTCAAACAATCCGTTTTGTTTCTCTGAAATTTCTATTTTTTTCTGAAATTTTTTGGTTTATTACATTCAGAAATCTCAGCGAAATTTCAGTCCAATTTTTCCTTGCACACAAGACAGCCTCTTGAGCATCTTCTTGCTGGTACATAGTAGCCTTCCAATCTGTTGGAACTGATTCATACATGAGTTCTATAGGCCTACTGAAGCATTGGCAAACCTCTGGATTAATAACTTTGAATATATTTTTTTAAAAAAGAGTAACAATTAACAAAATAGAAATGCTTGTAGGAACTTTTCATCCTAACTTCCTTTCCATGAGTGATAATAATTCACAGACAAAAGCTTTCTTTCTCTTTCTGAGGCAGTTCCCTCCAAATTCTCAAAGGTCTATTTCTGAATATTGGGGGGAATTGTGTAAGATACACTAAGGAGCCAAAAGGGAATGGCATTCTCTTAAGTGAATGGAACCACATGTACAATCCTTTTCTGATTCATCATCAAAGTACATTTTGCATAAGATTCTGAACTATTTAGTGAAGCTATAGAAGAGTTTCATAATATGGGGAATAAATAGTACACTATTTAATTGCTACTAGGTACCACCCCTTCGTCACTTCTTTAGTTTTATCTACAGCAAAATCAGAGATAATCAAATCAGAATGATCCAAGATCTTTATGCTATTTTTTATTCTTATGCAACTATAGCATCAAATCACATCTAATTTCGAAACATACTGACTGCTACGCAGTGCATAGTTGTAATTAAATGTCATCAAAATTAATAGTTTAAGCGTGGATAATCATGCTGCACTGGCCATAATACAGAACTCCTATCAAAAGTGAACTCCACAGTTGCATTTATAGGACATTTATTCAGTGTTGCAGTCAGATCTCCATGGAGATCCAAAACAGCCTTTTTTCAGTTTCAGAGAAGCTGCTGTCTCACACACAGCAAGCAAAACTGATGTTTTATTTACAAAAATATGATTGAAACAAGTTTTAGATTCTTCATTGTATTTGTTATAAACTTTCTTATGTTTATCTGTATGTGTGCGCAGAGAAAAAAAGTGACCAGAACTGCAGGGCGGTGTGCCTTTTTTATTATGTAAGAAATATATATATGAGTTCACTCGTGTTAATTTAGCAATGACCTATCTTATTATTCATTATGTAGTATTACATTTCTTTTTTTTTTTTTCAAGTTACACTTTTATTCATTTTACTTTAAGGTTTTCTGGAATGCAAGGAAGTTTTAATTGTTCCTAATCCTGATGTTCCTAAATAATGGTGTTCTTGCCTCCCAAATTACTGTATTATGCTGGTGCTTTTTTTTTTTTCCTGACGGACTGGTGTTCAGTCGACAATTTATTTTCCACAAACAATCCTGGGGACCAAACAACCATAGATTCCCTAATTACAGGGCTACAATGAAGTCCTAGCAATGCAGGCCCAGCCTTCCACAATCTGGTATCCTCCAGTTGACATACTTCAAGGTCTATCATCCTCAGCCAGCATGGCCACAGAGAATTGAATTCTAACACATCTGAAAAGCACCAGGCTGGAGAAAGCTAATAACACTACAAGGATGCATAATAAAAGTAATGTGGTGCAGATATTAATGCTATATAAATAAGGGGATGCATATCCAAGTGTAGACATAATTGATCTGTATCTCTTTCAATTACATATGCATCCGATAGAGGTGATTCCTCTCCCCTCGCCTTTCATTCTGCCAGTGCTAGTCGGGCACCAATGTGCACAACTACACCTAGACTGAAGCCATCATTTATACAGTTATTTTTTTTAAAAAAATGTTTAGGGACCAGGAAAGGTAAAGAAATCGTTTCATTTGATGATAGGTAATTGCTCAAACAGAAGGTGGGCTTGGAATCTATGCTTATCGGAAAGAGTGACTGACTAATACTAATTCAAAACTTTTGAAATGGTAGCTGAAATGAAAAGCTTCCATGGTGCCTTTTTTGCCTAATTCATCAAAACTTTTGATAATATCTGGACTTTTTATACATGTCAGTGAGGGATGCTGAACTCCCAGCATCTTCCACCATGTTGGCCATACTGGCTGGGAGTTCAGCAGCCCTCAAGTCAAATTTCAGCAACATCTGGAGTACCCAGATTGTCTACTGCTGCCCACAGTAAACCATTTGTGCTTCAGAGCAATATATAACACTGAGAAACAGGCAAAGGGGTCTATAACCATCTTGACACATTGATTGTTTGCTTCCTGAAACATCACCCTGCTCTTGGTTGGAAACAGAATGCTGGACTAGATTAACGTTCTTCATACGTCTCATTCACTTGTTCACTGTGTAGTTTTAGAATGGTTTTACGAAACAACTACCGGATTTCAGTGAAGTCTTTTGGGCATTTTCATTGCTTGCATATTGAACTTAGGCTCCAGTATTTCAAATCTAAATAAATAAAGTTTAGCTCAGTCTTATTCCTTATAACATGGAACTGGACAGAAAGTTATTGTTGTTAAATGCAGTAATCTAGGTTTCCTTGTTGCTGTTGATTTCCTGAAAGGTTACCATGTAACTAAAAAATAGACATTAATGGAAATTATAAAGTACAGCCATCAAACCCATAAATGTCTCTTCCACGGTGCAAAATTCTTTATGAGAGCACATTAAGGAATGTAGAATAGTGCTGAGAAATTTCCTGCCCTTTTATTCAGATATCTCACTTCAACATGTTTCTTATTTCTCTGGTGAATATGCCATTACTTCTTGTGCTACCTTTGCTGCTCAGCCTCGCATCTTTTTCAATACACCCAAATATTTTCAAATAAACCCATATATTTTGAACTAGAGGTAAAGCTACTCCTTCTATTTTTTCTACTCAAGGACTGTTTTACATGCTACCACACTGAACCAGAAAAGTGAAATTAAATCTGGAGGTATTTTTCCAACTGTGCAAACTTTTCTGCAATTATAAGAAATGCTATATCATCTCCTACTACCGCAGTGTGAATTTTTATAGAAGCATTAGCAGTTATTTCCCTTTACCAAAACAACATCCT